AGGTAAAAGCCACAAAAGCCTACATTCCACCTCTGCAGTGTGAGCTGGGTAAGGGCTGAGGCGGTGGCTGGTGGAATGTGACCATTGAGTGTGATGTCACATCTCTCCACAAACCCATCAAGTTTACTGTAACTCTGCAGTGGCATTTTGTTTTAAATGTATTTTCCTTTTTGTTTGCTTGTGTTGGAGGTGCTACACTTTGAAAAGAAGATGAGCCGAAACCGGTTTGGCTCGGTGGATGGAGCATCAGTCTGAGGACTGAAGAGTCTGGTCAAGGGCATGTACCTTGGTTGTGGGCACATCCCCAGTGGGGGGTGGGCAGGAGGCAGCTTGTCGATGTTTCTCTCTCATCGATGTTTCTAGCTAGCTATCCCTCTCCTTTCCTTTCTGTAAAAACTCAATAAAATATATTTTAACAAGAAAAAGAAAAAGAAAAGAAGATGAGTTTGTTTTGCCCTGGCTGGGGTGTGGCTCAGTTGGTTGAGTGCCATGCCGTGTACCAAAAGGTTGCAGTTTGATTCCTGGTCAGGATACATGCCTGGGTCGCAGGCTCACTCCCCAATAGGAGGTGTGTAGGAGGCAGCCGATTGATGTTTCCCTCTTCCTTTCCCTCTTTCTCTAAAATCATGTTTTTTTTAAATTTAAAGAACAAGAAATTTAGGTGATCTTTAAAAGTTATCCGAAAACCTAGCTAACTTTTCATTCTGGGGAGCCACTGATCTGTGGCTTTTCTCCTCGCTTCCTGGTGGCCATTGACCGCCACTCAGGAGTCCAGTGCAAGCGGGCGGGCAGGCTGACTGGCTGTGGAGCAGCCCTCCACTCAGGCTCTCTGTCCTTCTGGGGTGGGTGGGGGTCTAGCTTTGTGCAGATGTGAGAACCAGGGACGCCTGGGTCTTATTTGATTCAGGAACGTGACTCTCATGCATTGTTGTTGAGAAGAGAAAGTAGAATAGAATCTTTATGGAGGAAAAACTGGTCCCAAAGATACAAATGCAAAAATACAAAAAAAGACAAATGCATATTGCTGCAGTATTTTTAATATGAAAGGACTGGAAATAAACCCAAATGTCAATCAAAGGAGGCTGGTTGGATAAACACTGTCCTTATAACAGAGCACTTTATAGGAGAACGTTCTGGCTGGTTCTATAGAGTGCTAATATACTCCACATATACTGTTAAGGGGAAAAGCAGACCAAGGAAAGTTAAAACAGCATGCTATCCTTCACCATCTGCTTACAATGTTTTAAATGGAGGGGTAAATAGGAAAAGATAATGATTATCTATGGCATAAAGGGTAATAGGATGGAGGGAATATAAAATACAGACTTCTCTGAATACAGCGCATGTTTTGAATCTGACTTTGGAACCATGTAAATAGTTTACTTAATTATAAAAAATTAAAATTAAAACGCAGTCTTAAAATTTAAGCAAACCCAAGTGAATAACCATAACCCTAATTCAAATTTGGGCTATAATCACAGAGAGAGGAACTGTTCTGAGTTATTTTAAAACAGTAACTTGAATATACATCCTAATGGCATAGACCCCAGGACAGTAAGACTTGCAAAAGAAAACTTGGCATTGTCATTCTGAGGATTTAAGATAATGTGTAATTATTTTGATAATTTTGAGAAGGCTTTTTTTTATGAGAGAGGAAAAAAAAGAGCAGGTGTAAGGTCAATGAAGTTATATTGAAAACGTTACAGTCTTGGGTTGAATTGGGAATAACAATATAAACTCATGTAGTGTTTTTCTCTTAAAAAGACAAAAACCTAAGAGCACATATTTCCTAGTTCTGTCCACAAAACCAAGAAACAACAACCAAACCACTACCATTGAGCACTCCTAGCACCAGAGTTTGAGCTCTAATTATCATTCCCTACTGAAAGGAACCAGAGTCCCAGGGGAGATGATGGCTTCAGGGCTGTGGCACAGAATATACTAGATGAGCTTGAAACATCTTGTCAAGATCACTACAAACTATCAAAGACCACCAGGGTCGTGTCACAAGGAATCAGCCAACTTGAAGCAGTTCCCAAGCCAGAGCAGCCATCTGAGCTGCCATCTGAGCAACCCCACTGCCATCTGAGCAACGGGAAGACTGAAACTGCAGTGCACTGAAACTACATCAGCTCTGTCTAAGCCACGAGTTTATCACCTACTCTGCACACAACACACTTCTCACTCTGTCCACCTAGGACACTGATAAAGAAGAAACAGTCAAGGAATTTTCCTGCCTTCCCTATACAGACTAAAACTCAGGATAACTGAATAAATGATGAAAAGAGGTTTCTCTTTACAAATGTGCCAGCTAATAAACAAAGAGGAAACAACAGCACCAGAATATCATTTCCTAATGGAGCCATGGACCTGTCAATAAGCATCAATGGCAGCTAACATCAGAAAAGAAGAATCAATAAGAGATTCTATAGCACCCACTGGAAGTAATCTTGCAAAACTAAACATAATGGGATCCTGATTAACTCTCTCTCTATAAACATATACATATAAAAAAGCCTAATGGATCGTTATGACTGGTTGACCACAGACGCTCAATGCAGGAGCTGCCCCTGGTGGTCAGTGCGCTCCCACAACTAACTGCCCATTGCCAGCCAACCTCTTGCAGTCACCCATACCTTGCTGGCCAGCCCCAAGGCTCCGATTGGGACTGGGTGACATTGCCTGATCAGCCCTGATCACTGGCCAGGTCAAGGAACTCCACCTGTGCACCAGGCCTCTAGTTGATATATAAAAAAACAGAGAGGACAGAGGAACACAGGAAAAGACATAACAGAGATGCATCCAAGAAAACACAGACTGTGAGAAATTCTACAGGACAAATAACCCTATCCACTGTCTTCTAATAAGCTTCCAGTTTCTTAAACATATGCTAAGATGTACAGACAAACGGAGATTAAAGAGGCATATCAACAAATTATAAATCATGGACCCAATTCAAGTAAACACAAAGTCATGGACCATTTAGAAATATTTGAAGGTTATTAAGGAATTATTGCTAATTTTTAGGTATGATTGGAATTGAAGTTGTGCTTTTTAAAAAGTATGTAGGGTTTAGAAATACATGCTGGAACATTTACAGATGAAATGCTACGAGTGATGTCCAGGATCTGCTTTAGAATCATCAATGGTGAGGTGAGAGTAGAGATGGGAGAGACTGACCGTGTGTTAATCACTGAGGCTGGTGATTCCGACATGGGCTCATTATACTAGTCTCTCTGCTTCTGTATGTATTTGCAACTGTGCACGATACAAAGTTTGAAAACCCCACTGCCAAATACCAGGAGCCAATGCCTCTTGGCAAGGGTACAAGTTAATGCTGTAATTGTTAGCTACTTTGGCTAACAGATTGTGAAGGGACAAAGGAGAGTTGGCTTCCACAGGGAACATGAGGTGAGAGAGGAGAGAGAACTCTATCAGGTGTTACCCCCGGAGAAGGCCCAGGCATGATCCACAGGAGGGCCCGAGCAGCCGGCATCTATGTGGTTCTGTGAGGGCAGATCTTGGGTGCTTTAGACTGGCTTGTGTGGCATCCAAGTCATCGCCTCCCAGTGCAGGTGGGGCACCCGTCCTGGACAGCCTCCACGCACCTCACCCGGAGCCGCCCCGCCCCGGCAAGGAGCGGGAGCACACCGCTGGGACACCTCAATTTCAGGGATGTGGCCAGGCTCTGGGACTCTCCCACCTGGCCTTCTGCCCAGGGGGCTGGGTGACAGGCAGGCTTCTGATCTGTCACAGCACCGCTTGGAAATACAAGGCTTGGATAAGTTTCAATAGTCTCGTAACAACCTGGAAAGCAGAATTGCAGGCCCTGGTTCTGCTGTGGCAGAGATGATAGCTAAATCCATGGGAGGAGAAAAACATCACTCACTCTTCATCTGACAAATTAAGATAAAGATAGTGTCCCAGAAACATCCTGATGTGGGCTGCACCACTCACCTGGCAACACACATCCTCTGGCTCCATCTTACACCAAGGCAAACACAAAGTGTTTTTAAAAAACGCACCTGAGGTGAATCTCACCTGGATGAACATGTATCTGGATACTGAAACCTCCTCATGGCTCAGCCAACTTCTAAGTTTTAACCTGAATGGTGTCTCCCACCCCCGCCCCACCCTAGCCGGTCACTGCAGGACCTCCCCCCCCTGGGATCAATGGGATTCAAGCACCTTCTTAAACTCCCCCCGGACGGGTATTGCCTTACCAATCTCCCATTTGGCCAGCCCGGATTTCCCCGGAGGGAGCAATCCCACATTCGCCCGTGTGTTCTCCCTAAGTCACTCATCTTAGTCGCTGTACCGGGGCGGGAAGAGGAACAGGGCCAGCTCGTGTTCAGGGGTGGGCCAGGTGGCAGTGAGAAGCAAAAGGCTTTACGTACTTCGTTAGAACACCAGACTATGTTTTGAGATACGTTTTCTCAAAAAAAAAATTAATTCAGGCAGAATCTACTCTTTAATGGTGATCTCTGGGTCTAGAAGAATCAGGGCCGGGGTCCCGGGCTCTGCATCCCTCTCTGGTGAGAAGGCTGGCAGGCACGTCACAGAGGGGGCACAGCAGAACACTGGGTTGTGGCCGAGGACCCACCCCAGGCCACACCCACAAGGCACCGTTTGACCCTCAGCATGACTGTCACAATACAGGACTCGCACCACCTCAGATATCCATGAGCCTCCCCTTCCCAGCTACCTCAAACCCATAGTGCCATTCACACAGCATTTTCAAAAGCTGCCCATCCCCTGGAAAAGAGATTTCAGAAAATTAGTGCATCATCAAAGGGAACAACCTTAAAGCAGAAAACAGAAGCGATGGCAGCGGTTCGGGTTTTGTGGCTGCCCTTCCGTGCGACTGGGCCAGGGTGCAGCGCTGCCCTGGACACCTGGTGCCTAGGCAGGTGGGCAGGTGGGCAGAGAGGGCCAGTGCCCACAGCCAAGGCTTTGAAGAGTCGTGAACCCAGATCGCCACACCCCATGCTCAAGCACCCTCAGAAGTCGTACGGGGCCACGAAGATGGTGACCTTGGACAGGTGGTTGGCCTGGAAGGAGCGGTCTAGGTATTCCGACATGTCAACGTCCACCTCCAGTGTCTGCGGCCCCTCCAGGGGCTGCACGAGGATCAGCTCGCCTGTCTGGCGGTCTGCGCGCTGCATCACAAAGTGGCCGCGGCTGTTCCCACCGACGATGCCAAACCGCAGGCTGTTGGGGCCGGGGCGGCCGGGCACCGAGGCCATGGCCATGCGGAAGAGCGTGATGGGCGTCGTCAGGTTGGAGGGCAGAGACAGGTAGTGGAAGGAGATGGTCTTGGGCAGGTGGTGGCAGGTTCTGCTGTCCATGGGGCAGGGGTTTCGCTCACATTGACTGGATCAGAGAGGCAAGATGTAGGCAGTCAGCCTCCGGGAGACGCAGAGGGGCTCCGGCTTGTCCCCTGCCTGCCCTCTTGCAGAGGCCATTGGAGTGACCTCTCCCAGCCACTGGTCCCCTCACCACAGGTGCCTGGAGCTACAGGCAAGTGAGTGTGGCTGGCCAAGGGAGGAGCACTCTCCTAACCCACTTGTGTATGCATGTATGTGTTCCAGTGTGTGTGTGTGTGAAAGTACATGCATGTGTGGGTGTGCATGCATCTTATTACTATAGCTGTTACAGAAAAATAAAGCAAGGGGAGATTAAATAGCAAGGCTGATGCTGTATTCAGACCAGGCCATGTCTGCCTGTCTGCACATGCTGAGACCTCTATCTAAGGTGGGGGCTCAGGCAGGTAGCCAGCGACCTCCTGGGATATGACGCTCCCCATGCTGAACTTCCTAAATCTCTAAGGGTCATTCATTCCTACAGCTGCACGCCCTGTCTGCCTTAACCATAGGAGCCAGGGTCCGGAGGAAGGGCTGGCATTTCCCACATGAACACAGGTATAGGTAAGCTAATTTGGTGAGTCTCCTCATCGTGGTGGGAGTTGGTGCAGGTTGAATACTAGCCTGGCTGTTAACCAGGGATGTCCCCAGGGCTAAGATGTGCAGGCCCCTCTGTCCTTCACTCTCACTAACAGCTGCCATGCTCAGGGCCTGCTTTTCTCGCTGCTCTCACTCTCCTGCAGCCCAAAGCACTTCTGGTATTTAAGAAGGCAAAGTGGGTTCGCTCTAAAGAAGATGCTAGAGCTCTTGGGATCTTTCTAGAAGAAAATGCACAAACTTTATCATGGTTGTAGTTATTCTCAAAGGCCTGCCTCCCATCTTTCCAAAAGAAAAAGCTCTATTGAAGTGCATGGCTCCCAGGAGCCCTTCTAGCACCTCGGAGAGCCAGACACAGGTTAGCAAAGCATGCAGGATGTTCTGTGTGAGCACCAGAAGGTGGCCCTCTCCCAAATCAGTGTGATGGACACCTGCCTCCTGGCCGCATCACCCGGTGGCCTTCCCTCCCTGAAGTGCCCCCTCCCTCCGCGTCCGCAGGCAGCACTGGGAAATGACTCCTGTCAGGCAAACTGGGCTCTGACTGCACAGAGCAGTGATGCATGTTCTGCAACCGCTACAGGGACACGGGAGCTCAGAGAACCCAGACTCCCAGCCCCGCCCCTTTCATCTTTCCTCCGATGTAACTGCACCTTCTCCCAAGACCATTTGGAAAACCCAGCCCAGCCATGGGATACTCACAAGGGAGAAGTCTTCACGTAGCTCACGTTGCCGCTGCCCTCCGGGCACTCGGGGCTGACACACTGGAAGCCTCCACCAGTGTTGATGCATGTGGTCCCCCGGGGACACAGGTGCTGTGAGCTCACACACTCATCAATATCTGAAATACGGGCACCCCGTTAGGGTGAAGACCGCGACGTCCTCTCCAGCACTGACAGGGCCACTGGAGTGTGGCATCCCACACGCTCCAAGCTTTCCAGAGTCCTGTCCTCCCTCCGGGGTGTGACAGCTCGCAGGGGGGCTGGACAGCACAGAGGAGTGCTCCTGCCACAGTGCTTCTCTCAGACCTGCCTCGCCAGCCAAAGTGCCCTGCAGTCCCCCCTCCTGGCTGTTATCATGCCCTTTATGAGCAAATCATTGAAAGCTTCCTACTCGGCCTCACCCCCTGCCCAAAGCAGATGGCCTCACTCTCCTCTGTGTGAGTTCTCTGCTCCCTTCACAGGTGAATTTCCCCGCTGAAGTGTGTGTTTCTTCCCAACCCCACACAAACACTGTAGGACCGACAGATGGACGTGCAAATGAATGAGAGATGGAAGGGTGAATGGGTGAATGGGTGGATGGGTAGATGGATGGATGGATAAATGAATAGATGAGAAAGATGAATGGATGGATAGAAGAGATGGATAGATGGAGCAGACGGATGGAGATGGATGAGAGAGATGGAATGAGGGTAGATGGACAGGTGATGGCTATCTGGATACCTTCTCCCACACCAATCCCAGGCTGCCATTTCTCTGAGTCCCGCAGTGGAACCTCAATAGGATGTCACTGGGGAGCCACCTCCTCTCGGTTCCCACAGACTATGGAGCCTTCTTCCCTCTCTTCCTCCTCCTTCTCCCCCAGCAGCTCAGAGCCACAGTCCAGGACCAGCTGGGTTCTCTTCTGTGTCCTGTCTCCATGGGTGACAGCGAAGAACACGGATTTGTCCCTCCTCTAACGTGAGGCGGCCTGGGTAAGCAGGCCCAGTTTTCTGCAACCAGGAGACCTGCTATAGCATCAGGGTTCCAGGGCTGAGAGGTGGGGTGATCGCACCAGGGCACCGGGCTGTACGGTGCTTCCCCTTCCCGCTCTCAGATGCAGCCTGCACCAGCCATGGAGAAGGCACACTACGCCCAGAGCCCCATGTCTCCTCCAGACTGCAGGGCAGGGGGCCCACTGGCTGCTCTGCCTTCGGGTCCAACACTGGCTAACGGCACCACTGAATGGGAGGACATGGCCTGACCTTGCAAGCAGGCACTTGCAGGTCACAGGAGACTATTTTCCAGGATGGTTAAGCAACTTGCTTTCCTATTTATGTCAATGCAGTGCAGCCTGATGAGAGGTCCTTTTGTTGGCGGTCTTTTTGTTCTTATTTATTGATTTCAGAGAGAGGGAGGGAGAGGGAGAGAGAAATAGAAACATTAATGAGAGAGAATCATTGACCAGCTGTCTCCTGCACGCCCCCTACTGGGGACCAAACTGCAACAGGGGCATGTGCCCTCATTGAGAATCGAACTGTTCATGGGTTCATGCTCAATTACTGAGCCACACCTGCTAGGCTGTTGGTGTGGTGTTTTTTATTTATTTATTATTATTGTTGTTTTCCCCCCCCAAAAGTATATTTTTATTGATTTCAAAGAGGAAGGGAGAGGGAGAGAGAGAGAGAGAGATAGAAACATCAATGATGAGAGAGAATCATTGATCACCGTCTCCTACACGCCCCCCACTGGTGATTGAGCATGCAACCCATGCATGTACCCTTGATTGGAATTACACCCAGGACCCTCAGTCCACAGGCCAGCGCTCTATCCACTAAGCCACCCTGGCCAATCTGCTGGTGGATTTTTATATATCTGAGACTTTGAACCCCAGAACTCCATTCTGAAGTCCTGGCTGGTCACAAGAGTTGCAGTGCCCAAGAGTGGAAAGCCCCTCTCAGCCCCGCAGCACCTGCCTCTGGTGCAGGTTCACTCACCCTCACAACTCTTCCTGTCGGGCAGGGTCCGGTACCCGCTGGGGCAGGCACAGCGGTAGGAGCCAGGCGTGTTCACACAGGCGTGCATGCAGAGCCGGGGGCGCCCCTCCTGCTCGTAGAGCTCACACTCATTCACATCTGGGGACAGAAGTGCCTGGGGTAACTCCGGGGCCATGCAGTCAGCCCCGTCCCCAGCAGAGCATGGGAATGGGCAGTGTGTGTGTGTGTGTGTGTGTGTGTGTGTGTGTGTGTGTTTACTCCCATTCTGCTGAGCCAAGGGCCAGAGGACTTCGGGAGGAGTGAGCGAGCTGACCAGGCAGCTTCCAAGGCTCCTCCAGCTAAGGCTGAAGCCCCTGGAAAGGGAGACCCCACAGAGGCTGGCCAAGCAGGGCCCTAGGGCAGCCCAGAGAGCCTGTCCCTGCTGCACCCCCAGACTCCTGGCCTAGTTTGTGGCCCCCTCTTTGGGTTTTGTATCTGCTGCAGGGAAATGAGGCTGTTGGCACCAACTGACCAATTCTCAGGCCCAAACGACTGGTCTGAGTTGTTCACAGAAGGAGTGTTGGAGGGTAAGATGGTCACTGGAAGTGGCCTTGTCCATATAGCCAAGCCCGCCTCGGTGTTTCTAGCCAGGGTGCAGAGACAAGGGCTCCAGGCCAGGTTCTGACTGGGGTGAGCCTGGGACCGCTGGCTACTTGCTCATGACGGCCGCCTCCTGCCATGTCTAGGTGTTCACTCAGTCTTAGCAGCCACCAGGCCAGCAGGAACCGGAAACCACAGTGGATGGGACCCCTCAGGCTGCGCTGCTCCTTCGCGCTTCGGGTGCGGGCTGGATGCGCCCATAGGTGGGCGGGCGGCGGTGGTGCCCCTTCCCCCCTGCGTCCCCCCTGCTGTGCTCGTCCTTGGCAGGCGGGCGCCCCGTTGTATCCTCCCCACTTCGCATCTCCTCCCCCTGCCGCCTACCTACCCTGGCAGACGCTGTCGCTGCCCGCGGAGCCGCTCAGCTGGAAGCCGGCCTCGCAGCTGCAGTGCCGGGTCCGCTCCACCTGCGCGCAGCGGGGCGCACGGCTGAAGGCAGGGTCGTCCGCCTGGCGCTCGGGGGCGGCTGCGGGGAGAAGGCGAGTCAGGGCCACCCCTTGTCCCCCATCCTTGGGAAAGGCCACGGAGCCAGGAGGAGCGCTCACTCTGCAAGCAGAGGAAGCGGTGTGTGTGTGTGTGTGTGTGTGTGTGTGTGTGTGTGTGTGTGTTTCATCAAAACCCCATGGACAGCCCACCCAGGGTGCACGGCACACGCTGCACCCACCTCCGCCAGGCTGAGGGCGGAGGTGGGCGAAGCCGCCTCTTGGTTCGGAAAGGCTTCGCACATGGGCAGTGCTGGCAGCCGGCACCGCAGCTCACACCGCGGCTGGAGGGTTCTTTTGTCTTGTGTTCTTTTTCTTTTCTACAGGGTCTACGCTTTTGGTTTGTTTCTGAACCGAGAACAGAAATAAATGTTCTCATCAGAAAAAAAGGTGTTTGTTTCTGGAAGTTGTCGAAGGATTTGCGCACTCTCCTGTGGTTGGGAGGTGGCAGAGGAATGGGGGTGAAAGGAGGGGGGATGCACAGCAGAGCACGGCTGTGGGGTCCCACTTAATGGTCCTGAGAGGAGTTGGACTTGGAGACGGAAGCAGCAGGGTGGCTGGGGGAGGGACTGGGCGCAGGGTCCCAGCTCTGCAACGTGAAAAAGCTCAGGGACGGATGGCTGCAGGACCACGTGAACCTGCCACTGAACCCGACACTTAAAATGGCAGCTTTTGTGTGGTTTGTATTTCACCACGACAGATAAAAAAGGTGAATGGGTTTAAGAGGAAGTTCTGCTCGAGAGACCCCCCACCCCCACCCCGGAGCCGGAAAGACACAGGTGAGTAAGCTCCCCAGGCGTCTGCCAGGTCCATGGAGGCTGCCAGGCAGGAGCTGGCTCTGGTGCACCCTTCACTCCCTACTTCCCTCCTCGGGGGAGGGGCCCTGCCATAGGATGCTTTATACATGAAGTGCCCTGGACTGAGAAACAATTGCCTAAAGGTCCTGATAGCAGGCGCCGTCAGCCCTCCAGGACCAGCACAGCTAGGCCCATTTCCTTTTCTGACCTGTTTGTAAGGAGGAGAGGCCCTGGGGCTGCCCAGAGGGGCCTGCCTCCCACCTCCGTGGGACAGAGAGCAGCCCCCGGCGACCAGCTGGAGGGGCCCTGGGCTCCTGGCAGAGCAGCCTCATCCTGAGAAAACTCCCAGCAGGCCAAAGGGGATCGGGACACAGAAAGCCGCAAATCTCTGGGGACAACACTTAAAGGGGACCTTGGGCTGGTCCAGTGCAAGGACACTGAGTCTTGACAAAGCTCCTAGTCTGCGGACACTGTGCTAACCGCCCGACCCTCCCCACTCCGCCCCCCCCCCACCCCCCATTCCCGACTGAGATGCCACACTGAAATCACACAGGACGAGCCAGGCTTTGGGGGCAAAGGAACAAGATATATTTAGGATCTGGCCTATTTATGTCATTTGGGTTGCACCACAATGAGGGAGCCCCGTCCCCCCTACAGGTTCCTTGCATTTTCTTGCCATCCACATGGCAGCCACCGTGTCTTCCAGGCCTTCCGGCTGGAGATCCACGGGGACTCCATGCGGACAACCCCACCACCACGCAGGGGAGTGGTCACCCAGCTCTAAGGACACCCGGCCTCTCACAGTAGCTGTGGGCTTGAGGTGTGGTGGGGAAGGAAGTCACTCGCAGGGAAACACTGACAAGTGAAGGTGGCCGCAAGGAGACATCTCAGCCCAGTCCTGACCCGGCAGTTTTCAGGCTGTGAGTCAGTCCTCCCACTTGAATTTTCTCCCATAAAAAGGCTCAAAACTCTGGTTATACAAAAGCGCTAAACTCCATCCCCCATAGCCGCATTGGGGATGGGAGAGATGGATGGATGCGGTGCAGAGAGGAAGAGCCCACACTGGCGTGCGTGCATCTGATGGCCCCTCACCAGGGTCCCCGCAGCAGATGTCCTTACCCAGCCCCTCATGGCCACCTCACCCAGCCCCTCACGGCCACGTACCGGTCTGGGCCTGGTGCTGACAGCGGCTCCCGGTCCTTCCTGGAGGGCAGATGCATGTGTACTGGTTGACTCCTTCTAAACACGTCCCACCGTGCTGGCAAGGCTGGCTGGAGCACTCGCTGATATCTAGAAAGACACGCAATTTTCAAACACAAGCCTGAGTTCTGATTCTAAAACAAACACACAAAACACAAGATGGGTGAACAGTCATTACATTGCAGTTTGATTCGGGCACTCCGTCTCCCTCCGCAGCCCACCTCGCTCAGCAGGCCACGCACCTGCCGGCCTGGAGCTTGGCCGGTGAGTGCAGCCATCACCTGCCCCTGCCAGCCAGCTCCCAGGTAGAACACCTTTGGACAGGAACTCAGTTTGGGGGAGTTATAAGGGGGAAAGAGGGATGGCCCATGGGATTACATAGATGGGGAAATGCTCTTCCCAATCCTGACCCTGGGCCTCTCCTCAATGTCGGAAAAGGAAACTTCCTTGCTCATGCATAGTCCCATGGAAAAGCTAGAGAGATACACGTTTAACAGTGTAATAGTTTTTTTTTCTCTGTTGGTAGTTTTTCTTATTTACACTTTGTTTCCACAATGAACATTCATACATTTCCAAATCAGGGGGTGGGGGGGATGATATTTTGGGACTCTCAGGTCCCATCTGCGTGTTGTGAATCCCGTAAGCCCAGTTTCAGCGGGCGCCTTCAGGCACCGGGGCGGGTGTGGATCTCCCCAGCTGACCACAGCGTCCTGGGGACGGTCCGAAACGCCCCGAGTGGCACCCCAGCAGCCTTTCCTGCCGCGTCCTTCGAGAGGAAGGGAAGGTCTTTTCTCCCGATGAGAACAGCAGCCGTGTGGGGCAGGTTGGCCGCCTCGTGGCTGGGGTGTCGTGAAGACTGTGACATGGCTTGTCTTCATCGTGGAAGGACCCAGCCCATCCAGATGCTGGGAGGAGCCATTTCAACTACTCAGTGACCCCAACCTGGCTGTGCTCCCCGCACAGGTTCTGTTTTCAGATGGCTGGCTCCCAGGAATGTGCCGGCAGCCACCCTGTGCACAAAGCCCCGGGCGTGGAGCTCCCGTTTCTACCCGTTGTCCAGCCCGTCGGTTCTCACCAGCAGAGTCTGAAAGCAGCAGACCTCGAGGCCCTGAGGTCATGGGCACAGAGCCAGGGTTTGAACACGGGAGTCTTTCAGTCTGGCCCCGGCGGGACTGGCGCCATGTGGGCCCCCAGCCCGGCCTCCAGCAGGAGGCACTGAGCCTGGTTGCACCTGGACAATGGGGTGCAGGTGGGGTGGGGGTGGTACCCAGGTGCCCCAGGCCCCTGTGCGCTATCTCTCCCTCTGGACCTTGTGGCCCAGGTTTTCATTTCCAGACAGGATCCACACAGACGCTTATCTTGATCCACTCTTGGAGGCGTGCCATGGCGTGCCATCTGTGTCCTGACTGAAGTCCTGCTGTCATCACATGATGTCTGTCCCCCACAGAGGCACTTAGTTAAGTGCACGGCGACTTCAGAGCTGCAAAGGGGGGCCCTGGAGAAGTAGTGCAGAGGCTGGGAAGGCACAGGCACTGTGATGAGCCTGGCACTGGCCGTGTGGCTCAGCTGGTTGGGCATCATCCCATTCACCAAAGCGTGGTGGGTTCAATTTCAGGTCAAGGCACATACCTAGGTTGCAGATTCGATTCCCAGTCATGGTGTGTGCAGGAGGCAACCGATCGATGTTTCCCTTTCACATCAATGTTTCTCTCTTTCTCTGAAATATGAATAAAAACATCCTCGGGTGAGGATTAAAAAACATAAAGCACTGTGATGATTCTGTTGCCCTTACTGACTGTGAAGTGAGCCCTTTACTGTATCCCTGGACCTGAGCTGTGTTTCACATGCATGATCTGACCTCTTGTCCCTTTATTTCTAATGCTGTCCTGTGTTCTGTCATCTAGTTTCAAACTTCCCATTTCTCCAATCACCTCATTTCTGAGGTTTTCTAATTTTTTACTTATGCCGTCCTTTCACCATTTTTATCTTTTTAAAGCTTCTTGCTGCTTGTTTGGAAATATTAGTCACAGCTCTCATCTGTTTTATGGGCATGTCTTTCTGGCATTTCTTCATTGTAGACTTTACTCTCTGTTTTCTTGCAATAGTTTGCATGGGCTTAACAAGTCTTTCCTATGACTCATCTCTAGGGAAGTGTGTGTTCCTATGGAGCTGTTCTTGCTCCTGCACCCCAGGCCACAGCCCCGCTGTTTTTCACGTGGGTCACACTTGCTCAGCTCTGCCCTTTCCAGTCCTCCTCCCCACTCTTGTCTGGACCATCTCTTCCATTTGCACCGATTTTCCTTGTTGGGCTCAATTTGGATTGTCCTCCCACAGAGTCTCCATCATATTAGGCTTGTCCTGGAACGCCCTGCACATTGCCAGTGGCCAAACTGTTTCAGAGACAGAGACTCCCTACTGAACACACAAGCCCACACCTGAGGAGCGTGGCCTAGGAAGGCCAGTAACAGGTTACTATTCGCACAAGAGATCTGGTGGCAACAACAGCGTCAGCTGAAACAGAAGACACAGAGGAACACATTGAAGATTCTCAGGGAAAGGCATCTCACCGGTGTTTTACGTCCCATCAAAATGACACTCCATGGAGAAGCTGCACCTTTCGGGAATGATGGGGAACTCAGGGGATTGCCCTCTGGAAGGGCCGACTGGGAGATGTCTGCATGAGGACGCGGACATCACCCAGGGGCAGTGTCACAGAAGGGAGAGGACCACGGCGGGAACTCGCCAATAGAAGTCTCCAGTGCTGTCAGGCCCAAACAGAACAAAACTCTGCCTAGAGCTGGCCGGGCCTGTGGAGTTAGCTCCCAGTTTAGAAGGAATGCAGAGACAAAGGTGCCAACGCCCAGTTATACGTAAGTGCCAAGCATGGCGGCTGCAGCGACCAGGCTGTAGGACGCACAGGAAAGTGGTGAAGAGAGTGAATCCCAAGAGCACTCATCACAAGGGGAAAACCTCTTATCCTTTTTCTTTGTCTTGATATGAGATGATGGAATCTCTCAGGATCAAGGGAAATCCAGGTCCCTGGTGTGTCCGCCTGTGACACCACTTGTGTTTCCTGGCTAGCTGTTGATTGCTCTGCGAGCTAGTACCTGTAACCACCCTTCAAACTGGGTTCTTCGTTCTCCCCAGGGATGGGAACCCAAGCCGAGACCCGCGAGTGTGGCGCCGCTCGCCTATGCCTCTCAGGCCAACCCTCACGCCGGGAGAGACGGCGCATAGCTGATGCTCCTGTATGTTTGCAAGCTCCTCACGCATTCAAATGCTGCTCCTCAGAACCCACTTGGCGTGTCTTATTTGCGTTTCCCTTCACTTCTTGGGCTACACTCATGGACATTCTGCCCCCGCAGAAGTGCTATGAGGCTGGCCCTGGAAATGACTGGTATGCACGAAGATTGGACCATACATTTCTGAAAAGCCAACACGTGACACGTGCCAAGTCTGATTTCTCTCGGCATCAAAGGAGCACTGTTTCCAAACCCAAGAGTGAGCAGAGGAGGCTTTCACGCTCACCCAGCGGCCTCCCCGGAGCCGGTCACACCAAGTCCAAATCAGACACAGAGGACACCTGAGGGACTTTTTCACCCCACAGGCCACCGGCGGCCTCTCAGCGGATGGCAGCCCAGAATGAACGAGACAACAGGAGCGTTTCTGTGCAGCGTCTCCCTCTTGTCCTTCCCCACAACCCACAGGAGGCGAGAGTCTCGGCCGCGGGGGGGAGGAGCGGAGCGAGGTGCCGAGGAACGGATGCTGGGGTCAGAGTGTTGGCGTCAGAGTGGATCAGCTTGGCCTGCCCCCCAGCTCTGTGGTCTCGGCCATTCTATGCCTCAATGTTCCCATAGGCAAAACAAGACTAGATTGTAGGGAGGATTTAGGCAGCTGGGACAGGGGCAGCTGAGTCATCAGACACGGGCGTCCGCTTTCCTGCGGCTGAAAAATCAGGTGGGACGTGTCCTGAGGAATGCGGCTTCCTCCCCAGCAGGGCCCGGCCCCGGGACGGGGAGGAGGGACCGACCTCTGCAGTGGGGCTGCTCCCCGGTCCAGGTGCCGTTGGGAAGACACACCACACTGCTGGGCCCCACCAGCTGGAACCCGGGGTCGCAGGTGAAATGGACTTCGTGGTCCACTAAGTACTTGCTCCCAAACTTCCTGCCGTCCGGAGGGGCGTTCAGAGCAGGGCAGGAAACTATGGGAGAAAAGGAAGGACCACAGCGAGTTAGTTGTCACTGTCCACGACCAGGCTCCTCCGAGCGCCTCCTCCAGGATGCGCGCCAGGCTGCTGCTTCGAAATGTCTCATGGACTCCTCCGAGCACGCGTGGCCGGGGCAAGAACTGCCCGCTCAGTGAAAGATGAGGACCGTGGCTCAGACGCCCAGTACTGTGCGTGGGCCTGTGCGTGGGATTCCCCGCAGCTGTGCTGACACCTGACACTCTTGGAGCCTCAGGCCGGGCGTGGCCTGTGTCTAGGCCTCGGCATCTGCTCTTTTCTGCCTGGGATGTTCTCTTCACAATGTCCCATCTCTGGCTCCTTTTCACTCACATGGGTCTCCGCTTGAATGCAACCCACTCCCAGAATGTTCTCAGACCACCATGCTTTGCTAAAACCTTCTAGGGCACCTGCTATGAGCTCACCTGCTGTGAGCTCCCTTCCCTTCCTTCCTAGACTTGTGCCCAGGCATCTTATCACCGTGTTTGTTTCCACATATGTTGTCATTTTTCTCCCCAGGAGGCAGTTCAAGGGGGCATTATGCCTGGCCTGAGTCCCTGCTGCATGCCCAGCCCAGCCCAGCCCAGCCCAGCACCTGCCCCACAGTGAGCACCCAATTCACAATCCTTGAACACAGGAGTAAATAAAAAGTTATCTATTGTGTTCTTGCTATGTGCCAGGCACTAGATAGGCACTTGGGAGAATCAGTGAACAAAACCCTGCTCTCTGAAGTCCTGTCTATCAGGAGAGAGACCATTGATAACCCAGACCCAGGAGCAACAGGCAGAGTGAGGTGAGAAGGGATGGTGCTGTGTAGGAAATAGAGCTGGGAATCCTACGGGGTTGCACAGTGAGGGGTGTAGTTGTGAATGTGGTGGTCAGAGGAGGCTCTCTGGAGCTAAGAGTTGAAGATGATGGAGGCATAACCTCGCGGAATGCAGGACAGAGGGGACATGCAGTGCCTGACAGGCCTGAGGAATGTGGAGGGGACCGCTGTCAGGAGGGAAAGGAATGGGATCTTTTTGGGGTGAAAAATCTTTAAAAACCTCAAAGAAAGGAAACTACCTGCTGGAGCACCTCACAGGTTAACCATACCTGCATAGGTGGAATAGTATCTGGCACATAGTAGGTGCTCAATAAGTGTTAGTGGAATGAAAGAATGGATACAGATCAATGCAAATCAATTTGCAGCCCAGGCGGCATGGCTCAGTGGGTGAGCATCAACCCAGGAGCCAGGAGGTCAGGGTTTGAGTCCCAGTCAGGGCACATGCCCAGGTTGCAGGCTCAGTGATTTTTATCATTGATGTTTCTATCTATCCCTCTCCCTTCCTCTCTCTCTCTCTCAAAAAAAATCAATTAAAAACATTAAACATACTTAATTAAAAAAATCAATTTACAGCAATGATCTAGTAAAAAAAAACTGGATAAAATATTTTTATATATTTTTAAATCTTCATAAAAGCATCAAGTAGGTATAAAAATAGTGATGAGAAATTAATCTGTGAAGAAATTTGAGAAGGTGACAGCAGCATTTATGCAATCAATGAGCAGTCACTTCCCCCATGTGAGCCAATGGCCTCTGTCCCGTGGACGGTGTGCCCATGGCGGGCTCACTTCACCACGCGCCCGTCCCAGTGAGTCTGCAGGCCACAGGGATGCCCCCCGCAGCTTCCACAATAAGCTGCGTGTGCAGGAGTGAGGTCAGGGGGAGCCACCCCACCACACGTGGAGGGAATGAGGCTGCCTGGGCAAGCCCTGCCGCCCCTAGGCTGTGATGCTCGCACGAAAGAGAGGCTGGGAATGCAGCGGGGAGATACTTAGGACAGAAGCCCAAAGAGGAAGACGTAGGAGTCCTCAGGACTAGAAATCATTCTTCCCGACTCCCCCAAAATGCCCTTAAAAAACAGCCAGTTTCCCACTAGCTGCTTGTTGTCCTGGGGCGAGCATCTGGCTCCCGTGGCCCAGGTGCAGTCACTCAACCCTGACAGCTGCCAGACTCCATGTCCAACACACGGGAGAGGTAGAATGCTTGGTGGCTGGCAGTTTTTTTTTTTTTTTTTTTTTTTTTTTTAAAGAGAGTGGACCTCTTAAAAAAATCTTTGCATGGCTGGAGGAAGAAAGACCCAGAACAGTGGGTGGACTCTGACAGACACCAGGGTCTTCTCCTGCTTGTCCCAGAAATGGCTTTCACATTGCCAAGGAGAGAAGAGGATTAGTGATTTAAGATCCACCTTTCTGAGTGCACTCCGGGCCGTGGCCGGCGGTGTTAGAAATGACAGTGCAGTTTCTTCTCTGAAACTCCCGGGGCTGCCGGCAGCTCTGAGCCCGTGGGAAGAGGAAGGACCTGCGCATCAGACCTCTAGTAGGGAAAAAAGTCACAAGCTTGCTGAAACCAGTTTGGCTCAGTGGATAGAGAGGTGGTCTGTGGACTGAAAGGTCCCAGGTTCAATTCCGGTCAAGGGAATGTACCTTGGTTGCGGGCACATCCCCAGTAGGGGGTGTGCAAGAGGCAACTGATCGATGTTTCTAACTCTATCCCTCTTTCTTCCTCTCTGTAAAAAAAATCAATTAAAAAAAAAAAAAGTCACGAGCTTGGGGACCTGCTACTGCTAACTCACTTCCCTATGTAGCAGGAGGGATAGATGTCCTTGCTCTTCTCAGAGCCTGGCTGTGAGGAGCCCCCCCGTACCCCCCCAGCCGCTGGCACCTGGGAAAGGGTGAGGGGGTGTGGCTGGCAGGTCTGGCTCTGCGCAGGGCAGCCAAGGAAATCAGGAGTTGACTTGGTGCTGTTGAGACTCTGGATTTGACAAAAAGGTACAAAATCCTGCGCCTTCCCCAGGAAACTTCATCTCACACAACCAAGGTCCTTGATAATCCGTATTAAGTGCGTGAATGACATCAGATTTGCCACAGGCTCATGACTTCTCCATCCCCCCCAACCCCCCAGATCCCATCCCTCTGAGGAGAAGCCGAAGGAAATCCAGCCCCCACTTCTGGGCCTTGGCAAGGTGAACACCATTCCTGGGACAAGCAGAGAAGACCCTGGTGTCTGTCAGAGCCCACCCGCTGTGCTCACCAGATGGACAGACGTGCCCTCAGCACCCTCTCCTCCTCCCCCCCCCCCCCAACTCCTTCCCCACTGGCACAATGGGCCTCCTGCTGGAGGACTGGAATTCATGCCTGAAAAACTGCAGCCAGTGTTGGTTCCTGGATGGACCAGGAGGGCCGCCTGGTGCCAACACCCTCAGTGGCGACGTCGTGTGTGTTCCGGAGGGTGCATGTGGGAACTCTGCTTGCCACCCAGTTTTGCTGTGTGCTTAATGGTGCTCAAAAAATTAGAGTTAAAACTGAAAGGTCCCAGGTTCAATTCTGGTCAAGGGCATGTATGTTGGTTGTGGGCACATCCCCAGTAGGGGGTGTGCAGGAGGCAGCTGAACTATGTTTTCCTCTCATCCATGTTTCTATCTTTCTTCCTTCTCTTTATTAAAAAAATCAATAAAATATATATTTTTAAAAATGTTAAACCCCAGACTGCAGCCAGCTGGAATCTACCTGGGTGGAGGAGGAGGTGAGGGAGAGGGGAGAAACAGCTCTTGTTCTAAAAGTGGTGCCTTTTGAGGACTGAGACCTTAACATGTACACGTGAGCATTGTGCAGCCTAGAATGGAAAGAGCTAAGCGGGAATAGGTGACATCCAGACAGGGGAGCCAGCAGGGGAGGCCGGGAGAGGACTGGGAACCCACTGTGAGACACGGTCAAGGGCCTGAATGCCCTGTGCCAAGTCGTGCAGACTCAGGGACTCACCTGGGGGGCTGTCGGGCCCCACTCTGTTGGCAGAGCTCTGGAGCGCAGCCAGCCGGCTCCTCACGTTGCGGAGGCCCTCGGCGAAGCGTGTCTCCTGGACCTTCAGCAGCTGCTGCAACTGGCGGATGGCCGTGAGGACCTGCTGCTTGCTGAGGCAGCTCTGGGGACAGAAGGACCACCACCCACTGTGGCTGGTTCACTTGTTCTCGGCTTCCAAAGCCACCCAGACCCCTGGCCCAACAGGAGGATGTGAGAGTGGCCTCCTGGGCATCCTTCCCTGCCCAGGGTTCCCAACCACAGGCAGCGTAGCCCTGTACACCCTTCTACAAAAGCAACACTCCCATCTTTGGAGCGAAGGGCAAAACTGATGATTCTATGTGACTGGGTGGGGGAAGCTGGTTTGTACCCAAAGTGCCTTATATTCAGAAGCCTTCACTCCAAGACGTTCCCTACTCTGCACGCTAAATCAACACTCCAAATCTGAGCCTTTGTCAAGTTCTTTCTCCTTTGGACTTTTTAAAAGCAGGTAGGCAATAAGACCTATAAAACAGGCAAAACAGGAACCTCCATGGGCCCCATACTTTTAACAATGTAACAGGGCAAATAAGAAAAAAAATTATTGAGTTAAAGAAGCACTCAACAAAAGTCAATGCCCAGTTCTGATGATGTTTTAAAAGCTTAAAACACACACACACACGCACACACACACACACACACGAAAAAGCCCTAGCTGGTTTGAACATTGGCCTGTGGACTGATGGGTCCTGGATTGGATTCCAGTCAAGGGCACATGCTCGGATTCAATCTCCAGTGTGGGTCACGCAGGAGGCAGCCAATCAATGATTCTCTCTCATCACTGATGTTTTGATCTCTCTCCATCTCCCTTCCTCTCTGAAATCAATAAAAATATATTTAAAAACACAAATAAACAGAAAAAGGAGGCTTGTGCTCTGCATGATAAAGACTAACTTAAAGCCACAGCTGCATCATACTGAGTGATAAGTTTTAAGGTTCCCAATCTCAGCTGAGGAGTGAGGCTGGAGGAGGGGGAAGTGCAGTGGGTGGTGACAGGACGCGGGGGCTCACCTTGGGGCTGCGTGTCACCTCAGCGTGGCCGCGCCTGACCTGACCCGTTACCTGCACGGAAACAAAGGAGAACATTAAGACAGCTACGGCCGTTTTCTGTAAGGATAGACTTATGGATCAGTTTTCGTCTTATTTTTTTTATACTGCCTTTTTTTCTACAGCAATTATTAGTTTTATAATCTACGTTTTTTTCTAAAAGGGCAGCAGGGCGGTGGGAGTCACGGGGCTTCTGGCCACCACGGTGGAAACAGGATGGCCACGGCTCTCCCAGGGAGCCTGCCAGGCCGCGGCACCTCGGAGGTTTCGCCAGCAGATGACTCAGCGGCTTGACTCAATGGGCGCTTTTGACAAAGCTGACTCCCTGGAACGCGTTAACCCATGGGGAATCCTTGGCTCCATCCGCCCCGACCAGGGCCTGATGGGGCCTGGCCCCCAATGCAGCTGCTGGGAAGAGAAGTTTGTTGGTTTCCTTCTTCCTCCCCCTTCCCCCCACCTCCCTGTCCTTCCCACGCAGGCCTGGGCGCCCGGGCAGCGCCTCCGGCAGCCCCTGCCTGCCCAGCATTGCCCAGACATTCCGCTCAGGCCTCACTTCCCACACCCACGCCCCTCCCTTTAGAAAGAGCTGCTTTGATTAGGTGGCTTCGTGGCTTATGTGTGGTTGACACTGAGAAGTTCACTTCAGAGAGTACTAGTGGCTGGAGCAAGGCTTGGGATCGTGTTTGTCACCAATGAAGATACAGAGGCTGAAAGTCAAGCAGCTTTCCCTTGAGATCATGGGGCTTAGGTGCTGTGGTGTCTGGCGGCCCCCGCTCCTATCTGCCACCCTAAGCCGTCAGTGACTCTCTGCCCTGTCTTGTGCCATCTCATTTGTCCCCCCAGGCCCTTGGACAGTGAGTGGTCTTCTTGATTCATCTGAAATAGAAATTGGTAACTCAATGGCCCAAGCAAAATACCCCACAGGAGTGAATTTCTGACTGCAAATTTCAGGCTGGGTGGCCTGGATGGTGGAGCGGGAAGTGGAGAGGGAGTGGAAGAAACATCCCTCTCCATCTTGAGCCAAGCCAGCAGCTGCCTCCCTGCTGAGAGAGGGCTTGCTGGGCTGGGCTGCCCGAAGGGACACAGAAGGGCTGTTTTAAAATCGGGGAGAGGAGGAGGAGATCGGTGCCAAGACCACTGTCGCGAACCTGGGGGTGGCATGGAGCCCCAGAAAGAAGGGGAGCATGTGTGGAGGGAACTAGGTGCAGCAGCTACATGTGTCTACGCCCATGCATGTTTGGGCACAACCATCCTCTGGTCTAGGGGGCTCCCTTCCTGGGGCCCCCAGTCCCCGCACTGTGGAAAATGAGCACCAGCTGCTTTTTCCCTAAATGCTCATTAGGTGTGAGAAGGGTTCATCTGGTCATAATGGAAAACCCTTCAGACCAAGCACACTAAGGCCATGTCCCAGGCAGGAGGAAGAGGGGAGTTGTGGGTGGACCTGCTAAGGGAAGGTTGGGAAACCAAGGCCCATTCATTCCTGCCTCCAGCATCGCAGGAGTGATGCTAGCAGAGGGAGATCCTTGAGAGCCTAGAAATAAATCCATGCAAAGATGGTCAATTATTAGTGCAAAGGAATCAAGAATATACAACGGGGAAGGAAGACAATCCCTTCAACTGATGGTGTTGGGAAGACAGGACAGCCACAGCAAAAGAATGAAATGGGACCCATCATACTCAAAAGTCAACTCAAATTGGAATAGACTTGAATGTAAGATGTGAAACCATAAAACTCCTTGAAGAAAACATAGGTGGAAAACTCCTTGATGCAGTCTCGGTAATGATTGCTTTTTGGATTTGACACCAAAAGCAAAATAAGCAAGAAGGACTACATCAAATGAAAAAGCTTTTACACAACAAAGGAACCAAACTATCAATCAAATGAAAAGGCAACCTACTGAAGGGGAGAAAATATTTGCAAATAACACACCAGTTAGGGGATTAATATTCAAAATATATAAACAACTCACACAACAGAACAGCAAAAAGCCCCAAAGAATCCTATTAAAAAATGGGCTGAGGCCTGGCTGGTGTTGCTCAGTGGTTGAGCATTGAGCTATGAACCAGGAGGTCACAGTTCCATTCCCAGTCAGGGCACATGCTGAATTGAGGGCTCGATCCCCAGAAGGGTGTGTACAGAAGGCAACTGACCAACTATCCTGTTTCATCACTGATGTTTCTATCTCTCCCTCTCTGAAATCAATAATACTATATGATAAAAGGGTAATATGCAAATCCACAGAACAGCGAACTGACGCTCAACGCAGGAGCTGCCCCCTGGTGGTTAGTGCACTCCTACAGGGGGAGCACTGCTCAGCCAGAAGTCAGGCTCATGGCTGGCGAGCAAAGCAAAGCGGTGGTTCCTGGAGTCTCTCCCACCTCCGACTGCGGACATCCCCCAAGGGGTCCCAGACTGCAAGAGGTGCAGGCCGGGCTGAGGGACCCCCCCCCCCCCGTGCCAATGCACAAATTTTTGTGCACTGGGCCTCTAATATACATATATATATATATATATATATATATATATATATATATATATATATATATATCAGAGGATCTAAATAAACATTTTCCCAAAGAGGACATGACTAAAAGGTACATGAAAAGGTGAGTGACATCATTAATCAATCATCAGGGAAATACAAATCAAAACCACAATGATCTATCACTTCACACATGTCAGAATGGCTATCATCAATAAATCAACAAACACGTGTTGGTGAGGATGTAGAGAAAACGGAACCTTCTCCCACTGTTGATGGGAATACAAATTGGTGCAGCCACTGTGGAAAGTAGTATGGAAGTTTTTCAAAAAATTAAAAATATAGCCCTGGCTGGCATTGCTCAGTTGATTGGGCATCGTCCTGTCCACTAAAAGGTTGCCAGTTCAATTGATGGTCAGGGCACATGCCCAGCTTTTGGGTTCAATTCCTGGTAGGGGTTGTGCAGGAGGCAGCCAACTGATGTTTTGTTCTCACATCAATGTTTCTCCCTCTCTCTTCCACTCTCTCTAAAAATCAATTTAAAATTTTAAATTAAAAATACAACTATCTTATGACCCAGCAATTCTACTTCTGGGTATTTATCTAAGGAAAATGAAAACTCATTAAAAATGCACTCTTATGTTCACTACAGCATTCTTTTCTCTCTCTCTCTCTCTCTCTCTCTCTCTCTCTCTCTCTCTCTCTCTAAATTGATTTTTAGAGAGAAAGGAAGGGAGAGGGAGAGAGACAGAGAAACACTGATGGAAGGAAACATCCATCAACTACCTCCTACATTAGGGTCTGAGCTCAAAACCCGGGCATGTGTCCTGAACAGCAATTGAATTGGCAACCTTCCTGGTACATGGGACGAAGCAGAACCAACTGAGCCACACGACCAGGACTACAGCATTATTCTCAACAACCAGGACATGGATAGGGTCTAAGTGTCTACTGATGGATGAATGCACACTTTGAATAATTATAAAGGCAATGTTTATTAAAATTCATTTCATTTTCACAATTGAGCTATCAGCTGTTAAAGTGTATATATATTTTGGGGGACACCTTGCACATACAATTCCGCCGTAAAAGATGAAGAAAATTCTGCAATTTACAACAATATGGAAAGACCTTGAGGGCATTATGCCAAGTGAAATTACACAGAGAAAGATAAATACTGTATGATCTCACTTGTATGTGGAATGTAAACAACAACAACAAACAAACTCAGGGATGCAGAGAATAAATAGGTGGTTGCCAGAAGCTGGGGTTGGGGTGGTGGTGGAAATAGCTGAAGGTGATCAAACGATAAAAAGTTCCAGCTATGGGTCTTGGGGACCTAATGTACAGCAGGCAGTGTAGTCAACAGTACTGGGCTGCATATTCGAAAGTTGCTAAGAGAGTAGATCATGAAAGTTCTCATCACAAGAAAAACAATTTGTAATTATGTGAGGTGATAGACGTGAACTAGACTTATGGTGGTGATCATTTCACAATATATGCACATATCAAATCACTAAGCTGCACACCTGAAACTAATACAGTGCTGAATGTC